ACTCTTCTAAGATAAGTTATAGTGTACTAGTACTTACGTGTGATGTAACCCTTTCCAATACGATTGAGACCATTCCTCCGATTGTTTACGAGTTAGAATAAAACAACAGCAGTTCATTTATACTTCTGGACTTTTTTGATGAAAATGTTTGTCAGTAGTAGGGAAATTTTGAGAGTGAGGGAATACATGGCGCTGCGTTGTACACCCAAAAGTACGCACGCAAGCGATCGATCGCGTACAAGACTGACATGATCACGTGACATTCAAATTGCGCTGAACACCAACTATGTGTGTGCATAGGTTCTATGGTGTTGACTCACTGCATAACCCTGTCGTCCTGTGGAGTCGATAGGCAGATAAATTGAAGTAAGCAGTCAATACGTTAGTGGAAACACAATGGTTACTGAAAACTACTCCCAGTTGACTGAACGCAAGAGCGACTGAAATGAATGAAGTGATGTCAGTGAGCGAAAGTATGCGGAAGTTAATGCGGCCAGCTCTGTTTGGCTCTCCGTTGATGTCCAAAATCCATCGACTATTTTCATACGGATGCGGATTAATCAGATGGCAATGTATGGAGTAGTTTTCACTAATCCCATGAAAGTCATTGTTATAACTCAGCTGGTAGTTTGAACGAGCGACTGATCAGCACTGTGATTAGTTTGCATTTAGAAAGGATATAGCGTCGCTTATCCTTCAGTATGAGATCCACATCACGTGGTCGCACTTGCTGACTGGCTCCTGGAGTTTCGTGAGATGCCCATTATGAGGATTCCCAATTAGGACGAAATAGCCGCACAGTGCTCCTCGACTTTTCAGCACACATTGGTTTCATCTACAGAACGAAATATTTACTAAAATTCTAGTAACAACAGTTGGTTCTTGTAATGGACGGTTTGGTTCGTAGATGTAAACGTAATACCTTGGAAATCTGATCGAAAGAAGCGCAATATTCTTTCGAGAAACAAACACTGGTCCGAAGTTCTAGACAGGTGATTGCTGGATGAGCTTCAAGAAGGATCCTGTGATTTACTTTTTGGTTGGAACATATATTACCGAAATACCATAGGAAAGAACAGACAGAAATATTTGGAAGTTTTCGCGCAATCATATAGACGTTACTCACATCTTACAAAGCCTACCCCCGCATCAAGCCGTCTACATTTCGGCTAGATTAACACCCAGACACGATATTGTTATTTACTGGTTCGCCCGAATCCGGCGACTTGTGGGATGCAGAAACAAACACATCTGCTTTCGGTAAAAACACTTTTCCATCGTAAGGCACCCGAGCATATTTATCAGGTGTCAACGGAATTCTCAAAGTACTCCAACAAGTAATGATGATGATGATTCGGTTGGGAGGTTCCGAGGAATATGTCACGTTTCAGGTTTCGTGCCACCCGTTGAGGTACTCTAGACTCACACCGAGACGTCTTCAGAAGTCGTCCTTGGTAGTGGTGTCGAGCCAGCTTGGGAATTCTGTTGCGCCAACTTGAAGATATATAACGTACCAACATTACTCCAATATTTTCAGTGTTTTTGACGATCGTAACATACGTCAGGAGGGGGAATAAACGCATCTGTGACAGTCTTATTGAATTTTCTTCTAAATTAGCCTATGTTGTCAAACTATGTTCCGAACACAGGTTATCCCAAAAACTCTGACTATTGCTTATTTTTCTGTATAAGCTGGTGTGTGTGACTCCTCTGTACTTTTGTTAAGCCGAATTCTGTCAACTTGCAAAAGTGCATAATTCCTGTTTTTATGGTGTACAATGAATAAAGCTACAAAGAAGTTGCAAAGCATAGGAATACTGGACTAATATAGCATGCATTGCTGGAGCGAGACAAGCAGCCTGTTCCAGCTGCCGTGTGGGTTTTCACATCACGGATATAGCGAAAACTGACGAATGTCATTCATTACAAAGGGTTGCTAAACCCTCTAAAAATCGTTCAGCCGTAAGACCCTTCTGGTGCCTAGCTGTCATGTCACCCAAAAGAAGCACGAAGGCTGGGATACTGCCAGTTTGCCCAAGCCTAAACAGGGGAAGTCGAGAGGCAGAGTTCGGGTTCGAACCAAGGACCCACCGGTCAGTAAACTCACGTTCTAACCACTTGTGCCATCTCAAGGTAGCCTTCTCAAACCGATGAGTTCCAGGCTCGGCAGAACCCCCTGGATTAGTCATCGCAAGCGCATCAAACATTCAACGAAGCATTGGCACGCAACAGATTGCTGAATAATCCCTCTATTGATAACTGGGAAGGAAACTGTAAGTGAACATAAGTTTTCAATGCCTCATCTTCCGGGCGATGCAGACCACTCATAGGATTGGATGCAAAGAAACTGGGACATTTACAGCTAAACTATGGGGAAAGGTTGGGAAATCCTGCGCGCAAGCCAAGGCAAAAATTAGCTAACACAGTCAACAATCTCGGATAGGCATGGCTTGCTGTGTGCTATCATCAAACGGGGGCCGACCTTAGACCGGTCTAACTGGAGATTGAACAAATCCTGTTAATGCATATGGATGGCTACGGTACTCCTGTCCGAAACGTCTCGTACTGGCAAAAAATGTAGATCTGGGTTCCAAGGTTCAGCCACTTCGAAAAGTGTACTCCGATATCCGTGCATGGCTGAACGACCCGCATGATTAGTCTCGCGACTATCGAGGTAGCCGCCGATTGTGGAAGACAATGTGGTGTGTGAGGTTCAGTTATTTTGCTGTGCGTGGATAACTTGCTACCAAATTAGCTGAAGAAAACGGTAAAGGCTTGCAGCCCACGATAACAGCTAAGCGAACCCCGTGGACCGGATCTATGTGTGAATACTAACTCATTTATTTCCCATGCTACGAAGATGGAAAAGATATGATAGCTAGATTCTTGAAGTGTGAATAAGTCAGATTGCTGAAAGAAAAGAGTGATGATTCTCCCGTGTAAATGGAGCTTTCTACAATTTTTTCCAGTGGAATCCGACCTGTCTCTCGACTTCTGCTGTCTAGCCTTGGGCGACCGGCAGTATCCCGGTAAAGGCTTGCAGCCCACGATAACAGCTAAGCGAACCCCGTGGACCGGATCTATGTGTGAATACTAACTCATTTATTTCCCATGCTACGAAGATGGAAAAGATATGATAGCTAGATTCTTGAAGTGTGAATAAGTCAGATTGCTGAAAGAAAAGAGTGATGATTCTCCCGTGTAAATGGAGCTTTCTACAATTTTTTCCAGTGGAATCCGACCTGTCTCTCGACTTCTGCTGTCTAGCCTTGGGCGACCAGGCAGTATCCAAGCCCTCGTGCTTCTTTCTTCTGGGTGGCATGGCAGCTAGGCGCTGAAAGGGTGTTACAGCTGAACAACTATCATTATCTTTCTTCCGAAACCGGTTTCTCTCTTCAAAGGTGAGACAGAAACCCGAGTGTCATTACGACGACACCGGCTAGCGCGTTCGTTTGTGTTCTATACTGATGATCTCGGAAACTAGCGATCCGAGGCTTCAACAAGTCAACTTACTCCCTCCCACTACATGAACTGTTGGTCACTGAGCTTATGTGCGTCATACAAAGATACCCGTAAAAACGACGACTAAAATAGGGCGTTCTTCGTCCGAAGGTGTTTAGAGTATCCAAAATGTCAGAATCCTGAAGTGAATTTCTGATAGAAAAACAAAAGGTTATATCAGCAGATCACCCAAAATTTCTGTGCACACATATTCTAAGCTTACCTACTGTTTGAAACCGAACAACTAGAAGTCGATTTACGGGAGAAAACGTACATCCCTTCATGTGTTTTGTCTTACCGACAATCGGTTTACCGGTGACCTCATACTGAAATATCACCCGTCGTAAACAGTTGGAAAAAGGTGATCCTGAAGGGGTAATTGACAAGGATTTCCTCGTCTGGACAGCCTAATGACATTTAGTTGCTGCACACATGACCAAGAAATATTTAAGGTCCTCTACTGTGAATTCTACTGCCGCAGCTCTCCCATTCCTCCCCCAAATTGTGCCAATGAAAACCCAGGCAATTAGTATTTTTTTTCATATAGCACGTTCCCTCATGCCCGAAAAGTATTTTCACTAATTAATGACTCCATAAGGCACGAATTCTGCTCACTGACTCTACAATGCATGTGCTTTCTAAGCAGACAATATATTACCCCTATCATTGTATGTATCAAAAGCACAGGACTTCGAAGCACTTAACGAATACAAATTAACGAACCTTTTCATGTATGATTCACTCGTTGTCCGCTTATACCCAAATCTCGGGATAAACGACAACCTTACCGGAGGAATAAATTGGGGAACCTTGAGTCAGCAACTTCGATCAAGACGGTTCCTTCTTCCAAGAGGAAAATCTGCAGGTGTTTTTTAATGAGCACTTCCTTTGGTGCGCACTTTGCACCCACAAACTCAAGCTCGTGAACACGACACTTACAAATTAGGGAGAGGTACTGGAAGTTGTGGAGCGTTTCACGAATCTTGGAAGTTATATTAGTTCTGATTGTAGTGTGACAGATGAAGTTTGCTAATTTGACACACTTATGGGGTCAAAGTGGTGTATCCCTGAATCTAAAGGATGTGTGTACCAAGCCACAGTGCGGACTGTTTTGTTGTACAACTGTGAGCCTTGGCCTGCTACTCAGATGTTCGACAACCGTTGTTCCAGAACCATAGCTCGTGTGGGTTGGTGTCGGCGACTCCGTATCGAGGTAACTAGAAAGCGAGCATTCGGCTGCGCAATGGATACTTCCGCTGAAGAATGTGTCCCGCACCAGAAATGGCGTCGATCTGGACATGTGTTGCGTATGCCTAACCATCGTTAACCCAAGAGATTGCTGTTTTCCGTGCCCAATTCAGAGTGGCGGAAGCAAAGTGGTAGCCCATCCTTGACCTGGCATCGGTGTCATTAGTGTTCTTGCTGTCAGTTTCTATCCAGATTGCCTGAATGAGTTTATGGAAGTGTAGGTACCTCAGAATGATTGTAGTAAGCTAGCACTAAGTCTCTTCCCCATCCAGCTTCATTCTTTTCTTTACACTAAGACTCCCAGATAAATCATAGTTGTGCAGCAGCGAAAAATCGGTGTTGAACACTGATATCATGCTGTCGATGATGATGACGACGATGCAACATATCCGCACAAACGCTTCAACAAACCGCTACCGCGTGTTTCTAGTCAAACAGCATGTCATGTCTGGATAATATAACTGAAGAAAGCAAACCATAGCACACACCATTTGCAGCACACAAGTTTTTGATTTCGTCAGTGAAAGAATCAGAACCGAAGAAAGTCGTCCCACTACGAAGATTTCTCTCTAGGGCGTTGCAGTTGTTTTGAGTATATTTATTCCAAAGAGAACGGCGTAGCTCGCGAGAAAATCCAAGCAAAGGAGTCTGACAGTGAGGAGGACACCAGTTCTCTGCCCACCGGCAAGAGTGAAAGCAAGAAGTATTGTGGCTTATAAGGTTCATGTTCAAAAAAACGGCGCATGCAATGCAAGGATGAAATTAGAATAAACAGCAATTTGGGTAAAACTACACGAAGAGCCAAACCCGACACGATGGCAAATAAGGAAAACAGAAGGTGGTCCTTGTGTGCGTTCAGTCGACCGATTAGGTACACTAAAATCTGACAGCCGGAGCTCAGTTCACCTAAGGAAAGATCACGCTAAAATTTAAAAAAAGAGGAAAAATAAACTGGATGGGTAGAACAAGAAAGTCAGGTTCATTGGTACTGCGCAATATGGCGGTAAGCCTGAGAAGAGATGGGCGGGTGGTGCACCAATCAAGATCAATCAATCAATAAGATGGATTAGTAATAAAACATCACTCCAGACGACAACAACGTGAAAGTTTTCTCGAAACAGCAGTGCGGTGGCCTGGGATCACAAGGATGGAGCGAGGGTCACATGCTCGGGAAGAACAACGACGCACTGAAAAGGCGGAGGAAATACTCGATGCCCACATCTCAAAGCGAATCGAGTGAACTGGAGGAAAAAAAGGGTTAGGTATGCAGAGCGTTCTCATAAGCACGCGCAACAGCACGATGAGATCATATCTGGAATCTTAAAAGAATGAGCATTCTGTAGAGGATCGAGGTGTTCAGGTGGTTGACAGCCAAGCGAGTTCCGATGTACAGATTGTGGAGAATAACAGAATTGAGAAAAGTAGAAGGGACTGGGAGTTTAGACATCTACTACCATCTTCTTGTGCACATCCAGATTGCTGACGACATCACAGAATTCCTCAAACGAGATCCGGCCATCCCCATCCTTGTCAGCGAACATGATTGTTTTGTCTACAATCTGTTGCAACTGAGTGTCTTTGAGATTGTTACCGACCATCATTTTCAGTACCTAAGTTGGAGCGAAAACCGATATAAGTGTATCAGCAAGAAGTGACTCAACCAGCTTGGAGCATAAGCTAAATTAACAGAAATGTACACTCTAAAGGGAGTAAATTCGCATCGAAAAAACGAGCTAGTGTATGAAGGTTTCAAAATGTTTCCAAGCGTCCGTCATCCAGAATCCTCCACATACACCTCATTGGAGTCGTTTGGGAAAAAGTGTCTACTAGAATCATAATAAAAAAATTAGAAATTCGATGTTGTGGTTGCAATCGATAAACAGCAGCTAATCGCTTTGCCAGATCATCTTAACATATACCCTCTCCGCATAAGCCAACAACAGCAGACGAATCGTAAATTGGAATCTGACCTAAGCTGCAGTGTCGCTGAATAAGAGAGCGCAGGAGTAGTGGGAGTATAACAGCTTCTGTTAGCTTCTCACCATAAACCGTGCACCTCTACAGCTTTCTTCAGGAGTAGTGGGAGTATAACAGCTTCTGTTAGCTTCTCACCATAAACCGTGCACCTCTACAGCTTTCTTCACACATGATAAGGAGAACTAGGGAATTACAGCTACACGTCGAAGGCGATAGCTCGATTTGTGCATTGACTCTAGACAAGTCTGCTTGTCCAGTATAGCAAGCAGTGTGAACCACACAGCGGAGGCGATAGCTTTGATGCATAACCGCCAGTGTTCATGTGACACAGGATCACTAACCATTAGTTTATCTTGTCCCGCGGCCCCTATTCGGGTTGACGTCAGTGACCGATGCGACTGAGTTGATTGATAAGGACCTTCATACTTCACTGCTGTGTCATGGACTGACTACCCCTGGGTCTACCCATCTAACACAAGGCTGAGCGAAGAAGATTTTAGGAGGAAAACGGTCCTCTTGCACCTAAAGTACATGGTCTAACCAGCATGACCTGAAGAGCATGACCAGCTGATCCTTCAAGAGAGAGAAGACCATCTGATGTACCTCAGGACCACTGACTCGGTGTTTGTACTAGACAATCGCAACGCTCCGCCGGTGCCGATGGTCAAAAACATTCCCAAAAGATCTTCCACATGCAGCAGCAGCGCCTCTGATCCATAACGTGGAACAGACCTAGCCATGGCGCTGTGCAGTACACTTGGCAGTCAGTCACGTCGGCGCCATGAGTACCGCAGGATGGTAAACACTTTCCCGGCCTTTTCAATTCGGGAAGTGATTTCACCAGTCATTTACCGGTTCACTGGGACTTATGTAACTGTCCATATAGACTAGCTTATTCATCAAATCGGTGGGTTCACTTGCAAGCATGAGGTTTGGTTCCATTCCACCGAATCTTGCTAAGAGCGAAAGCTCCGTGAGTATTCGGACACCCGGGGTGTTGGAGGCGGGCAGAGGGGACCCAAACAGAGCGTCAATTACGAAGTTAAAGAAGACAGACGACAGAGGACATCCTTATCCGACGAAACAGAATGTAGAGAGCTCAGGGGAGAATTGGCCGTAGAGACGTACGCGTCCACGGGAACTAAATCATTCAGCTGTAACACTTTTTCAGTATCTAGCTGCCATGCTACGCAAAAGAAGTACATAAGTTGACATATTGTCAGGTTGCCCAAGCCTAGACAGGAAGTCATGGGGCGTACACAGCCCACATAGGAGATAAGAATTTCGGAGGGACACCCTTCATCGCCAGATACTACCAGTTTCTGACAATCACCAGAGTCAGAAGCAGATATGAAACCGAGAAATACTACCATTGTTAGTCGTCGGAAAGAGGGGTGTAGTTCCAAAGCTTATTGTGATGTGTAGATATGATCTATACAACCACAAACCAAGGCGGAACCCAGCTTGATTCTCCCGAATCCAACTCACCCGGTGATAGATCGACCTAGTAGGATAACGGCAGGGGGTATCTTGGGAGCTATGCTTGCTAGACTCGTGCGCTGGTGGTTTCCAGCGCACCATTTCTGAATATGGGAATAGTCATCGAGGCACTTCATTCTTTCGATATTGTTTCTCCACTCCAGATACTTAGGAGTAAAGCCGTCAGGACAGCCACGAGGGTCTCGCTACCTTCTTTGAAGAGTGCAGGATACAAACCATCTAGATGCTCTGAAACAATGGAATTGCACGCTGAACGTCGTTGTCGATGGTGACGGACTGGTGCCGACGTTCCGCTCGGGTAATTTTAAGATGGTTCAGTGGCTAGAGAACGAATTTACTGACCGGAAGGTCTGTAGTTTGAGTTCAACCTCTGCACCAAGACCGCTCCTGTCTAGGATTGGGCAATCGGGCAGTATCCAAACCTTCGTGCTTTCTTCGGGTGGCGTGTCAGCTAGGCACTGGAAGGGTGTTATAGCTGAACGATTATTATTGTGCCATTCTGGGTCTAGTTGAACTTTAAAGTGTTCAGCTTAGATTCGAGATGGACTGAAGGGCCACATTTTTAAGAGGTCGTCCAACTAACACTAACCGTACTCTGACCAGATGATCAGATTACCTGGAACACCGTGCGAATGTTTCCTGTTACACAGGCCTTCTTCAATCCTCAGATTTTTGTGATCCACTGACGCCTTGTCGATCCTTAGGTTCTTCATTATTCGGCGTTTAACGGATCTGTGTGCGCCATCGGTCATTTGTTAGTGATATGGTTTTGCAGGCTACTGACCGTGTTCATTGGGGTGTGAAAGGGAACTCGGACAGACGGTTTCCGAAGCTATGATCACGGCCCCTCTCACCTCTTTCCAATCGTCATCCAAATCACCGTAGTATCCGTCGACTCCTTTGAGCTTTTGTCAATTCACTTCGAAAATGTTCAGCTAAAAAGACGCTTAATACGTGGTGAACTGAATGCCTTTGCATCGACTGATGTATTCCACGGGGGAAGCAAGTAAATAAGTGCCCACGCAGTTCCATCTCCTAATCCCAATCTCCACCGGCAGCTGATTGTCACGGGGTCAAAATGAGTCCATGAGTGCTTTGTAGCTGTTGGCACCCAAGTTACATCAACATCACCATCATCATTTACAGCACGACATAAGTGTTCAACATCGATGTTCCGCTGCCGTGCAACCATGGTTCATTTGAGTCTTATTGTAAGAAAAAGAATGGAGGTGGACGGGTGCTAACTTACTACAATCATTCCGAGGTGCCTACACCTCCATAAACTCATTCAGGCAATCTGGATAGAAACCGACAGCAAGAACGCCACTGACATCGGTTGCCAGCCATATCTCCAACCAGGCGCAGTGGGAATCACGTAGTCCCCATTCTGGAAGGCGAGTAGTGAAGCAGCACCCAGGCGTTTCGTAATATCCTTTATACCCCTCTGCCAGGCCAAGATTACGGCACATCTCCGCTCCCGCCACGGAAGATTCTTCGACAAATGGCTAGGCATAAGCAACACATGTCGTAACCGACGCAGTTTCTGGTGCTGGACACATTCTTCAATGGAAGTACTCGCTACACAACCGAAAACTCACTTTCTAACTGCCTCGTTACGGATACGCCGACACCAGCCCACACGAGCTATGGTTCTGGAACAACGGTTGTCGAACATCTGAATAACAGGCCAAGGCTCACAGTCATACAACAAAACAGTCCGCACCGTAGCTTGGTACACGCGTGCTTAGAGATTCAGAGACACACCACTTTGACGCCATAGGTGGGCCAAATTAGCAAACGCGACCCGGGCGTTGCAGATTAGTGCATTGACGTCATCCGTCACACTACAATCAGAACTAATATAACTTCCAAGATACGTAAAACGCTCCACGAATTCCAGTACCTCTCTCTGGATTGTCAGTGGCGTGTCGAGTGACTGCATGCCCAGGAGTGTGGGCACTTTGTGGGTGCAAAGTGTATACCAAAGAACAGGATGGCTATGGTCAGTTCATTCAAAAACACACTGCCTCGTTACGGATACGCCGACACCAGCCCACACGAGCTATGGTTCTGGAACAACGGTTGTCGAACATCTGAATAACAGGCCAAGGCTCACAGTCATACAACAAAACAGTCCGCACCGTAGCTTGGTACACGCGTGCTTAGAGATTCAGAGACACACCACTTTGACGCCATAGGTGGGCCAAATTAGCAAACGCGACCCGGGCGTTGCAGATTAGTGCATTGACGTCATCCGTCAACAATCAATCAGAACTAATATAACTTCCAAGATACGTAAAACGCTCCACGAATTCCAGTACCTCTCTCTGGATTGTCAGTGGCGTGTCGAGTGACTGCATGCCCAGGAGTGTGGGCACTTTGTGGGTGCAAAGTGTATACCAAAGAACAGGATGGCTATGGTCAGTTCATTCAAAAACACCTGTGCTTTCTCCTTCTCTTTAAAGACGAGAACGATATCATCCGCATATTCCAGATCAACAAGGTTTTCATCACCGGCTACTTGAACACTGGGGTTTTGGAGACCCTCCAGCGTCCGTCTTATTATTTCATCGATCATGAAGTTAAATGGGAATGGAGTGAGTGGGCATTCTTGACGGACACCACTTTGTGTATGGAAGCTTTTGGAGAGCTCACTGTATACTCTCACACACCCGGAAGTCTGAGAGTACAAAGAGCCCATTATGGTCACCAAAATCCGGGGCACTCTTCAGTGGGTAAGCATGTCAAGAGGAACAGACCGGTCAACCGAGTCTAACGCGCCTGGGAAATTCTGAAATTCTAGAATTGTAGGTCGCTTTCACGTATGGCATCGTTCTAGCACCTGACGAAGAGTGATGATTTGGTCAATGCAACCCCTACCTGGACGCTGAACTTCGCGGGCAAATGATACTTCCCGGTTGCCCAGGCCGAGGAAGGGGGTTTGGTTGAGGTACCCCACCTTGAGCCTTTGACTCAAAAGTCTGACCCACAAGGCAGTGGGAGAGTGTGGGGTTTTGTTCGGGGACCCTGACCCTAGCCTCTGACTCAAAAGTCTGACCCACGAGGCAGTGGGAGAATATAGGGTTTTCTTTGGGGACCCTGCCCGGAGCCGATGACTCAATAGTCTGACCTG